CATATTTGGAAGGTCGGTGAAGTTGACCATCGTAAACATAATTTATTCAAATCAGGACCTCCTTTGCATAATTTATAAGGAAATGATAGAATAGGCTTTGTTCTTAATATAAGATTGTCATTGGGTGGGGAATATGGTCAACTGATATTATTCATGAAAATGAGTCTTAAATTTGCATAATCACCATGAAAAATGTATGTTCTGTCAGTTTGAACAATAAACATGATTTGGCAAAGGTATATGTATGAGGCCGTGGAACTCTTTTATGAAACCTAAAAATTAGTCTCTAGTCTGCATATAACCGACAATAATATACCTTGTCAATGCCAAATGATAAAGATTTCACCAGTGTGTTACATGTTACTAGGTAGGGACCATGTTAATAGTTTGCACAAAAATTTGCTAGTGAGCAAGATTGTAAATGTAAGCCATTTACACGTAAGATTTACAAAAGCGTTAAACATTTCATGGAGGTATGAGGTCGCCGAACTCTAGTTGTAAATACAAACAAGAGTTCAGAGACCTCACATCTCCATGAAATATTTACTTAATATGTAAATGTTCATTTCATCATTAATTGTGCTAATGACCTCAACGTTAGCATAATATATCTATGGTATCAATGTCCTTTTATGTAGAACACAGGAATAACAGAGTTTCCTCATTAATTATGCAAATTTAAGTTCTTATTTGCATAATTTGCTTTAATTATGTACGACTCTCTCTCAGCTACCTGCAAACCAAAAATGATGAAAATACGTTGTTCCTATCTGGACTTATTAGCTTTTAAAGTTTTTACCAGAAACTTACCTGCAGTTCCGCACGATTACGTGGCACATCTTAGCACCGTTCAACCTTCAAATGCTGCGCGCTTGAATGTGGCACACTTCTTTGAACTTCAATCCGGTGCAGTCAACTCGACGATCACTCATTACGGTGCTCCAACGTAGCAGAAACATTACTTGTGCTACCGTCTTGAGTATCAGCCTTGCCATGAACACTCCATCTTAGACGGACCCTCCAGCACAACCACTGGACTTGGTATTCCATTTACCACGTGGACTTTTCATCTTCCAAGGACTTTAAGAACTTTTGCCCGTATTTTACCAAGTTTAACAAGTCTCTCTCGACATCCGTGCAACCCTTACTTAGCTGGTTTCCCCTCTCTGCCCTCAACCGTCCAGCCGTACCCGGAACTTTTAAGACCACAGAGACCCTGAACTCCGTGCCTTGACTCCTTCAGACCGATAGATCGACCAACACCGACCAATTCCCTCCTATCCTTTCCCTTCGTGACGGTGCGCACTACTCTAATCCATGTTGCCTTACAGATAGTGGGGTTCTCTTCGGAACTTGTGAAGA